TGCTGTTCTCAAGGGAATCTTGACCAAAAAAAAAAAAAAAAAAAGCCCCTGATCAGGCTGAGCACCCGAAATAAATCAGCACCGGTAGGAAAAGGCCTCTGGAAGTCAGCGGTGATCCGGTAGTTGAGTGGCAACGGCAGCAAACTCCCGTCTGTAAGCTGAGAAGGAGATTTCGTGTTTGCTGAAGGAGGGTTAGGTGCAAGCTCTGCGGGGACAGCAATCGTTTTGAAAGCTGATCTTGCCAATTGAGAGGCACATGTCCCAGAGCCCGGTCTTGTCCGCATCAGTGGACAAGTTACTATCAAGAGCTACTGTATTATTTCGCTCGCTCGTGATAAAGTAAAAGCGTTTTCATACTTGCGAGCAGTATAGTTCTAAAAGTGGATTTAAAATGCTTTTCCTGATACTGGACTACGGAACAGATTTACACCGAGTAACTGATTTTTTACTTCTTTGAGTGTAAATTGGCTGCCACAGTGATGGGCAGAGGTTAAATCTGGCAGGCCAGACAGAGATTGTGATATTATATGTATATGAATATATATAATTACCATTGCTGTTACCGTGCATAGACAATTGACATTTATTTGGACTCAGTTCTTTAGACTACTTTTCATAGACATTTCATAGACACATATGTAATGAAAGCAACATCAACTGAGCTGGACAGTGAACTGCCTTCAGAAAGGGACTTTATTTTTAGTAGAGTACTGTGTCAATTCAAAATATATGCTGAGGCAATCAAAAGTGAATCATCTCTCTCTTGATATAAAAAGTGCTGTGCAATACAAAGCACGTCTTCCAAGCATTTAAGACAGTAATGGCATTACTATGAATACTATGACCTAAGGTATCTTCAAAGAGCAGTGTCAAGTTATGCAACACCTGACATACTTTTATTGTTTCACAGGCAAAGTAATAGTTCTGTGATTCGATCGAATTCTCCAACAACAACATCTCAGATCATGGCCAGAAAGAAAAGGAGAGGGGTACGTTCTGTTTAATTACTTTCCCGTGTGACAATTAGCATGTGCTCTGTGATTTTGGCCTTCAACATTTTTTGTAAACTTAATATGTTTTGTTTTTGGGAATAGATTATAGAGAAAAGGCGCCGAGATCGTATAAATAACAGTTTATCTGAGCTGAGGCGGCTTGTGCCAACTGCTTTTGAAAAACAAGTAAGCCTTTTTTTTTTTCTTTTTTTCCTTTTTCTTCTGTTTTTTTTTTTTTTAATGCTATATCTCATCTGCCAATGTTAGTTCTCTTGTATAGCTCCTTAAAATAATATTGTATGTGTCCTGATCTGGCACAAAGCAGGCATTTCAATAAAATGCTTTGTTGTGGCAAAAGTATTAGAAACATAATTCATCACAAAGCCGAAAAACTTTTCCATTCTTTGGCTTGTTTTTCCCTTAAGGGTAACAGTGTTCATGTTGTCTCTGTTCTTTCGATGAATTCCAGTAGTGGTTTTGTTTGAAAATGTGCCTTACTCTCTAGTAAAAAACAACAACAACAACAGCAAACCTATATGTCAATTCTATCTAGATCTTTAAATACAACCTTAGTTGTCTTTTCTTTAAGGAACCTTTTTTTTTATTTCAGTTGTGAACTTAGCAGTCCAGTTTCCTAAAAAAGAGAACAGACCGCCTAGATTATTTCAGTTTGTAAATGATTTTTTAGAAACAGTACATTAGGAGTGGGAATAGGCCCATATGGCTATAAGCTAGGGAAGTCAGCGGTACTTTCAAAGACTTTCAGTCAGTAGGAAGGCTGGAAGGATCCAGCTGACTTCAGTGAACTTTAGTTCAGCTCTGTAGTCATGAAATTACAGACCAAAAGCTTAGAATGCAATCTGTGCTACAAAAAGTGTACCATATTCGTGCCATTTAGTTTAGATTATTTTTCACCCCTTGATTTTTATTCCTTGGGTTTTGCTTCAATATTTAACATTGTTCCTGTTTTACTGAATATATTTGAAGGTTGCCAGTAGGTTTCAATAAAAGCAACCTGAAAATGAAGAACCTGATTTCCTTGTAATTAAAAATAAAGAAGAGAAAGTAAACTAACAACAGGCCTGTTGAGGTGCTCCGTTTCTGTGGTATCCAAGAGTGGCTAGCACCATACAGTACTGGGCCTGTTACATGCCTGAACTGAACAAAAGCTAAATAAAAAGAAATTTTAAGCATAGCAGACATGGTCAAAGCATCACTTTTCTCACCTGCAATACACTTTTAAATAGTAGCCATAACGGTGCCATTCCATAGGTTGAGACAAGATGCAATGACAGACGTATTTTCAGTTAGATGAAATAGGGGCAAGGGACAACAGTTGTTTGTCCCAATTTATTGTTTACTTCTGGAAAACCACAAACATTATAAAACAAGTCCTACAAAGCCCTTGGAAATTACCCAGCCACATGCAGTTTTTAGCTATTAGTCACTCACTGAGACGGCTTGTAATGTGTCTATGGAAAAGACTGAGACTGAGAAAAGTGCAGGATGTAATTGTACGTAAAATGCAAAATTCTACCCGAAAACTCACCCGCACAACAAAATTCATACGATGAGACGCTGAAAGCAATAACTGAATTTTAAAATAGGTATTGGTGTAAAAATGGGCATGTGGTGTATTTTGTTCAAGAAACTCCACCATTTTTCTGTAATATGCCAAGGACAGAGTTTTTTTTTTTCAGCTCCTTGACATTCAGCTCCCTGAAGTTTCCAAGCTGGAGGTTTACTTTCAGTTCCTCCTACCCTCCCTCCATCCCCCAAATCACAGCTCTGCTCTCCAGGATCCCATTGTGGGGATTAGAGATGGTGAAGCGGAGCTATGGAGGAGTTCATAATTCTTACCTTATTTGCAAGCGTGTCACCTGGGCAAAGCCAGCTGAGGTTTCAGAGCTGCTGACGTCAGTGAGGCTGCACAGCTGATAACTAAGAGCAGGATTTGGCTCACAGGATGTGATCCTCCGGTGGCTGAAGTCTGCACAGCTCTGATGCCAACGGATTATCTCTTTCACTGGAATAATATTTCGGTGTTCAATCCAGTCATTTGAGCATGCTCCATATATTCAAGGAAATGCTGCCACACAAAATAATTTTATTTACAGATTAATAGTGCTTTCAGACTTGCATTTAGTACTTTTTGAGCTCCTATATGTAGCACTGTGAGCTGGCCGCAGTAATGGAAGAGTCTTACTGATGGAAGAGCTAAGCTCTTCCTTTTCACAGTGTTTAGCTTCATATCCCTGCAAACTAGGCCTCTCAGGAATTTAAAAAACTGTGGACTTTGCAATTGTTTTTTCAATAGAGAATGAGAATAGAATATCCAGGAGCCAAATGACATGTCAAAAATTAATGGGCTATTAAGAAACAGGGATACTTTTCCATATGTGTCCACAGGGACACCTACCGGTAAAAGCAGAAAATAATGTTGCAGAAGGGTCTTTATCAATTTTTCCGAACAGACCTGCCATGCCATGATTCCATTTTTGCTTGGTTGGTTGGTTGTTTAAGTAGAAATTGCTGAGTTACGTACTTTTTTCATTTCAAAAAGATGCCACATCTACACAAACTCAGAGTTACTCTGAGCTGCAGCCTTAATAAAGCAAAATTGTCGTGCTGATGCATCTTTCACCAGACATGCACAGCATCAGTCCTCAGACAAAGCCTGGGATGCAGATGTTTACAAAAGAATTAAGTTGAGAAAGTCCTAGTGATAGGGGAAATTGAAACCATAAGGCTGATCTCAGTGGAAAGCATATCAAATTAAAGCTTCTGCCTCTTGTAAGTCTTTATTTATATGGGTCTCTTATCTCAAAGGGATCTGCCAAATTAGAAAAAGCGGAAATACTGCAAATGACAGTGGATCATCTGAAGATGCTTCAGGCGACTGGAGGTAAAGGTAAGGAGCGGATGATTTCTTTTCTCACATTTGGGGAAATCTCAGCAAAAAGTGCTTTGACGAGCTGTGATAGGCGTTTCCAGATTAAAGGAGTGGAAATCAATGCTAATGGCAGGATTGAACTCGTGGGAAAGAACTACTGGGACAAAAGAAGCACTTGACCCTGGGCTTGTGTTTGCTTTCATAACACTGTGGGAGTAAAGGCTTCATTCACAGGCAGCCCAGTCAGAGATTTGTTTGGGGTTTCCAAAGAGCACTGAAATCTGCACAGGGAGACAAAACAAATACACAAACACCAAACATAAACAGGAGGTTTGTGGCAACAATTGTGTAGCACAAAACCAATGTTAAAACTCATTATACGGCAGCTATACCAAAGGAAGTGGATGGAGAGGCACTTTCAATATTGTTTATGTATTTTCTTTGTTCTGGAAAGACTTTAAAATGCAAGATTAGACTGTCTCATTCGCCAGAACAAAATCCAGTCTTGTTGTATGCAATTCTAGATATCAGATAAAATGGATGGGTAGACTGCTAAGAGTGCAATATGCACACGCATTTACGTGCCAAAGCTATATGTCAGAGGTCTCCGTTGTTCCTTATTAGTCAGTCCTGGAGTGACGCAGGGGCTGCACTAGCTGACCTGCTAGATCAGCCGACTGCCGTGAATCCAGTGTGCCTCACTTGTGCAAGCTGACAGTCCCGAGGCTGGAGGCCAATTGTTTTCTGCCACCCACGAGGTATTTTGTATAGTCATGATTTCGGAACTTATTTTAAGTGAAAAACTTGCTAGCTTTTTGTAAAAAGAGTCTGAGGTCCAGTGCAATTAACCTTGATTACCTGTACAGTTCAAACTGTTGTCGTGCAACCAACCAATTTTTCAGTGCGCCATTATGCCAAATAGGATGCTGCTGCTGCTGCTTTTTCCCTTCCTTTCCCCTCCTTTCCCTTCCCCTCCCTTCCCTTTTTTTTTTCAACACAAACATTTATAGCCCGTTGCTGAATTACTGCACCTCTCTGTACCTTCCAGTGATTTCAGATTTCAATTTATAATTAGCATGTACTTAATAACAAAGAGATACAGGAAAGTGTATAGAAGGCTGGTGTTCTGTTATTCTTAAAATTAATACACAGCTGATTTGCGTATATTCTAGGTATGGAGAGGCCTTCGCTAGGACTCCATTAAGCTTAAGCTTTATGGGTAGTTTATGCTATCGGAGGAGAAAGCAATTCTATTGGCTTTCATCTAATAGACGCACCCTTTGATTCCTAGGAAAATATGCACAATTAAATCTAAAAAAAATTACATTTTTATATTAGAACATACAGGAGAAACTTCATTTGAAGAAGAGTATTTAGCTGGCAAAGCTAAGCTCTTGACAGTTACGAAATGCCAGAATGTGTAGTGCTTGTGCAATTCTAATTCAGATCCTCTTGCGTATGTGCACGGTGGTGCAGTCTTCAATTGCGTGATTGCATGCTGCTTTTCCACGAGGTCTGTCTCATTCAGTGCGCAGGATGAACAGCAGTCAAATACTGAGAAAAGTGGTTACTATTTCTTTTTATCTTTGCCATTCGATGTGGAGCTCGGTTATCCTGTTCTGATCCCTGCTTTATGCCATTGTTCCACATCATTTCTCTTAAGGCTTCAGCAGCTCCCACTGCCCTGATGTTTGTACCGAACAATACCGCTCTTGGTAGGGCCAGGAGATGAACCTGATCAGAGGCCTCATCTGATTTAAAAGTGACTCTCCTTTCCCTGCCGCCCTGCCCAGGAAGGTGTGTGCGGAGGGCTATTTTACACCTGGATCTGATCCAGTAGCTCACAGGATGTTCTGCTAGAGTCGCATATTCACATGGCTGCGATGGGAGCTGCTGGGCTGAGAGAGGTGTCTGCAGGGCCACGGCCGCCAGCGGCAGTCAGACAAACAGGATTTTGTCAGCAGCGCAGTCTCAGCGGGCACATTCCTCCTTGGCCACTCGTTGCTGCCTTCATGCCTCTCCCGGCGCTCGGCTGACACAGGCATTGCTGTGGTTGCCGGAGGGTGGTGCTGGGGAGAGAAGAAGGTGCAGGGAGAGGTGAACCATGCTCATACCAGCTCAAGCCTACTGCCGCGAGTTGGGTAACCTCAGCCTAGTTCGGCACCCTTCCGAGTCCTTTTTGTTACTCCATGGTCCGTAGTAGGTGGCACATCAATAACAGTACCAAGCATAATACCTAGGCGTTTCACAAATACTCTGGCTTTATCTTCTCCTGACCCAAAGATAAGAGTAATCTCACTGTACAGATTAAGGAACTTTAAAAAAAAAAAAAAGGCTTGCAAATTAGTATCGGGCAGAGTTTAAATCTGCATTTCCTGCTTGTTTAATGTTTTACTTTGCAACCTAAGTAACAGCTTTTAAAAACAGCTTTCTAGGGTATTTTTAAGGCAGTTATTTATTTTATTTGCAAGCATAGCTATTCCTCCTTCATAACTCATCTTCTGAACCAAAAGCTTCCTTGGATCAGCAAAAAAGGAGCCCCATCATTTTAGGTTATGCACAAAAGTTATTGTCTTAGAAGGGAGAAACGGGTGCGGATAGCTCTATAAGTCTTGATGCTGAGAGCTGGGGAGAGCTTATTCTCTTCCCCTTCACACAGAAACTGAGGATGCGCTGTGCAGGGGAGGGCCAGTGGCTGGGAAAGCTGGGGAAGGAATAGACGGCTCTGTAGCGTGCTCAAGCTGAGGCAGGTAGAGCAGGAGAAAGGCCGGTGTGGTGCTGTGTCCTTCTCTAGGCTGTTCTTAGAGCCGCAGCAGCAGGCTGCCTACCCGTTTCTGAAGTCCTCCATGGAGCGTATGTTTCTGCCGCTCCCGTGCAGGTGTGGGCGATGGTCTTCTGTTGATGTGGAGTTATTATTTTGGCCTGGCACCAGCGCTTTTTGCTGACGGTGCAAGCAGGCAAAGAGGGAGAGTAACTTGTCGACAGCAAGTAGCTCCCGCTGCGACCTTCGTATAGTTTTACTGCATCTTGGCAGTGAAGTAAACTCAGGTGACTGACACTTGGGTCAGTCTCGGCACAGTTGTCGGTAACCAGCAGGAGGATTTTCAGCTTTTGAATGGCTTAGCCTGTGTCCTGACTGCGGAAGAGGTGGGTTGCCAGCACAGCTGAGCAGCACCCAAGATTTTCCATGCTCTGCAAAACTCTAGCGCATGAGTCTGTGCGGGGGGGGTGCAGGGTGGGGTATGTTCTTGGGTTTTGGAAAGAAACACAGGCATTTTCAAATCTCCCACGGAAGGGGGAAACCTGGAAAAGATAACCATCAAAATCATAGCAAAATGGAGTCAGGGAGTCCCAGCTCTCATCCCACCCTGACATCATGTCTCAGCCACCTCATAGAAGACTGACAGGGAGCGAGTGAGCATGGTCAGGATGTTGGGACTTCTTGCCATAGAGGCAGGAGCTTAAACTCTGGGAAAACTGGAGACAATGACATTTCCCACATTTCCAGTCCTCTGCGAGGGAGGGCTTACTGGGAAAGCTGGGAAGCCCTGACTTGAGTGGAGCACTCTCAGGATGCCTAAGTTCACTGAGATATGTCCAGGAGCCAAGTCCTCGCCGGAGCTGGGACTCAGGTTTTGGCTTTGTGTCAGGCTGGCTGCAGTCATGGGAAGTCCTAGAGTCTCTAGCACTGAAGTTCACTTCATGCCAAGCTGTTAGGCAACTAAGCAGGTATCCTATTAGCTCACCACAGATTTCCTGCCTTTTTTTTTTATCAGAATTGCACTCAGACTAATTTAATTTCACAGACCATTTGGTTGCAGTGGATCTGATAGGAAAAAGTATCAAGGAATCAGTGCTTTCTGACAACAATCCTTGACCAGTTCTGCTCACCAGTCTGGTAACTGAGTAATGGTTTCTCTTAGGTTTCATCTTATGGCATCAAATGAACAAGGTGGCCTACATCAAAAGCACCATCATAATTTGGCAAGAAACTGTATGTGGCAGACAAGGGATTTGGGGCAACGTCTATAACTGTGCCAAGTTAATTCTGTAATGAGGATAAGTGCAGCAACAGAAAGGCTCTTTTCTAGCTTGACAGTTGATAAATGTGAAAACAGCCATCTAAACTGGTAGAATTTTTCAAAAAGACGTAGATATTTTTGATGCCAGAAAGTGCAAGGCCTAGTATAAGTATTGCTACCAAAATCCTCTAAAATAAAAGGACTTGATCTATGTATATTAACAAACATCACAGTCACACATACTTAAATATTTTCACTGAAATAAAGTGGAAAAAACACCATGTTCACTTAAGAATGGATAGGACATTATTCTCTAAGGAGACTACCTTTAAACTAAAGTAGAATGGAAAGGGAATATCTTTTCATGTGTGTTTAATAATACTTTTTTTTCCCCCCAAATACTTTTTTGTCCCAAGCCTGTGGAGCTCCAGTTGCTGTTTGCTGAAATACCTCATGGGCCATATGTGTCAGTCTTCCATCTCCAAATTAGCAATGGCATCACATAAAACGTTTTCTCGGTGAAGTTTTTTATGGTGTGTGTGCAGAGTCATGACAAGATGTTTTTAGTTTGTAGTTAAATAACACCATATGTCATACTCTCTTAATGACTCTACAAAGTACATGAGACCCCAGCAGCATTTATAACAACCACCTTGAAGTGTCAAGAAGTAGGTTTTAAGAGTGTTACTATGACTGAAAGCGTAGGGAAGAAAAGGCAGCAAAGTATGTGCAAGCTGTCTAATCTTCAGCCTGTTTCTTTGCGTGTATAAAAGACTGTCTGATTCACACACATGCACATGGGGTCAATGCTACACTGCAAAAGCTTGCTGAGGAATTTCAGGAGAGGCATCGTATAGCTTTTTGAAGACTCTTGAGTAGTTATGGTCTTAATTCTTTTCATTTGTATACTGTTTGCGAAAACAACTGTAGCCTATTGCATTACAGGAATGGTCACAGAAATTATTTACAGATCAGAGAACAAATTCTTCTCATTGCAAATTTTAACCCATACATGGAAGATCCAGTGGCTGAGCAAGGATCGTCTTAGCCAGGTGCCACCTAACGTTGGCTGAGAAGTCAGCTCGACGCTCAATGCTTCTTTTGCCCTCCCCCCGCAGGTTATTTTGACGCTCATTCTCTGGCCATGGATTTCATGAGCATTGGTTTCCGGGAGTGCTTGACCGAAGTCGCGAGGTACCTGACCTCGGTGGAAGGCCTCGACACGTCTGACCCGCTGCGCGTGAGACTTGTCTCTCACCTGAGCACCTGCGCCTCTCAGCGGGAAGCTGCTGCCATGACCTCCTCCATGGCCCATCATCACCACCCATTGCACCCTCACCACTGGACGGACGCCTTCCCCC